AGGAGAGTGGAGTAGGTGGCATCTCACTTCCTGACCCCAAAATATATTACAAAACTGTGATAATCAAAACAGCATGAGCGATCAGCAATTAGCATAATGGCTATGTCACCAAACTCCCATGTATACGACCACAGTTTGAATCCCAGACCCAGTGGCTTAAACTCACGATGGGCGTGTGTGCGTGCGTGCCCAAGATCCCTAGAGGAGAATGGAGGAGAAGGGATTGCGGCATGGCCATACCTCTTGGGGGGGGGATGTCTCGCTTTCTATCTCTCTGTCTCTCTCTGTCTTTCTGGCAAGCACAAGCACCCTATAGCAAAAACCTCTCAAAAACAAAACAAAAAACAAAATAAAAGCATGGTATTGGCACAAAAACAGACATGAGGACTGTCTGTAGGGACAGATTACAGACCTCAAAAATAAACTCCAAAAAATACAGTCAACTGATCTTTGATAAAGAGTACCAATTAATCCAGTGAGAAAAGGGAAACCTCTTTGGCAAATATTATTGGAAAAACTGGGTATCCACCCACAGAAAGATGAATCTAAACCCCTATCTGTCACCATTAACAAAAATCTACTCAAAGTGGATCAAAGACCTAAACCTAAGACCGCAAACAATGAAACTACTGGTGGAAAACACTGGAGAAACTCTGGGAAACATTGGGGTAGGCAAAGACTTCTTAAGCAAGACCCCCAAAGTACAGACAATAATCCCCAAAAGAGACAGGTGGAATTACATCAGATTAAGAATTTTCTGCAAAGCAAAGGACATAGTAATTAGTTTGAATCGACAACTCTCAGAATGGGAGAGAATTTTTGTTAACTGGGTTTCAGATAAGGGACTGATAACCAGAATACACAGGGAACTCAAGCGGCTTACCCTGAAGAAAATGATTAACCCAATTAAAATATGGGAAAATTAGCTGAATAAACAACTCTCTAAGGAAGACATGAACAACCAAAAAGCATATGAAAAAATGCTCAATCTCATAAGGGAAATGCAAATCAAAACCACAATGAGATATTACCTAACCCCAGTCAGAATGGCTAAAATTAAAAAAATAGATAATGGTAAGTGCTGGCAGGGCTGTGGTGAAAGGGAACTTTCCTTACTGCTGGTGGGAATGTTAATTAGTACAGCCTCTGTGGAGAACAATATGGAGGTTCCTCAAAGACCTACAACTAGAACTCCCTTATGATCCAGCAATTCCATTCCTGGTTATCTACCCAAAAGATAAGAAGCACTCCGTTGCTCATCCAAGTTTATTGCAGTATTATTCACAATACTAAAATATGAAACCAACTCAAATGTCCACAGACAGATGAATGGATTGAACAAGTGTGGCACATATACACTACAGAATACTTCTCAGTCATTTTTAAAAAAAAATGAGAACCTGGCATTTCATAAAAAGTCAACAAACATGCAAGACTTACTGCTAAGCAAAGGAAGCCAAGCTATGAAAGAGAAGCATTGTATGTTCTCCACTCAATATATACTTAATGTCTATACTCTATGATAGAAACGGAAAGATTGGAAGGTACAGAAGCATTGAGAGCAATGGTGATACTACAGGCAATGCAGGAGGAGAATGGGAAATGGGCAAGTGAGAGGGAGGGAATCAAGGGGGGGAAAGAAAGGAGCAAAACATTTAAGAGACACAAAAATGGAAAATTATCTGTTGATGATGATGTGTATGGTAATTTCTTTGAGTGAACCAATATACAGTGTATTTATAATGGGAAAACTCATTCGGTAGGCTGTAATGTTACACAGTGATTAGAGGTCAAAAATTTTAAAAGTAAATAAAAAAGAATATTAAAAAAAACTAAAGATTGAGCAAAGCACATATTTGATAAAGGATTTATATAAAGAATATATACAATTACAATTCCATAACATGGAGATAACTTAATTTTTAAAATGGGTGAATAATTTGAACAGACATTTCATCATATAAAATATGCAGATGCAAAAAAACATGAAATGGTCATCATTATTAATCATTAAAGAAATGAAAATTAAAACTTCGATGAGGGGATTACAGTGCATATCAATTCAAAGTGCTAAAATTACAAAGACTGTTAATACCTAGGATTGCAGAGACCATGGAGCAACTAAAACTTTCACATATTAGGCAATCTCAAACTGTTCATGGGAAAATGAAATTAAAGTCCAAGTTTAATTTGATGTGAAAAAAGTTTGAATCCATGCATAGTTTTTGCATAAAATGCACTTTTCATGAACTTATTTAAGATCCCTTATATTTCTGATTGAAATATAAAATGGCAATCAGTTTAGAAACTATTTGGGACTTTTTTGTATTTATAATATTAAACATACCAGTTAGACTTACCATATAATGCAATTATCTCATTTCTAGTAACTTATCCAAGAAAAATAAAAGCATATGCCCACACAAAGACCCATCAATGAATGTTTATTCATAGTAGTCAAATACTGTAAATAACTCAACTATTTATCAGTTGGTGAATGGATAAACAAATTGTGGTATACTGCATAGTGGAAACCTACTCAACAATAAAAAAGAATGATCCTTCCTTGCAATAATGTCAAAGAATCTCAAAAACTTTATGTTAAGGAAGCCCACGGAAGACGGCCCCGGGGGCTCACGCCCCCGGCGCGAGGCGGCGGCGGTGGCGGCGGCGGCGGAAGCC